TAGAATCTCTGGGTTTCCTTCACCCAGACTCACCAGGCTGTTATGCCCCTCCTGGGCTCCTAACTCCCTCTGACGGGTTCTGTTCCTGCTCTGCAGTGCAGGTCACTCAAGCCAGGCCTCCCCTCTGGCTGCTCTGGAGAGCCTCTTCAAATGTTCTCTCTGGCCCTGTGTCTCCTCTCTGCATCCCGTGCAGGAGGCTCCCTACTCCCTGACTTTCTTCTACTCTTTGTCCCTGGATCAGAGATCACAGCTGGGGGTCCCTGGCTAGAATGGGAGCTCGACTCTCAGCTTTTCATCCTGGAAGCCCCAGGAACCCTGGCTCAAGACATTTCCAGAAATTGCAATTGTTAGAAACATGAAAGTGCAGTGTCTCTCCTCTCCTCTTCTCTCCTCTCCTCTCCTATCTTCATTTAGATACCAGGAGAACCAAAATCTGCTGAGACAACTGAGCAAACCAATGCTGGTACATTGACAGTGGAATGCTTTCTGAACCCGCAGCCCAAGTCTGTTAAACTTCAGGATGTGCACTATGGCCTACCCATTCTCCAAAGCTTTCCTTGAAGACATGAATACAGGACATGATACGACTGGGAAGAATTATATGGAAGTTTTGTTGGTTGAAGAGGGAGAATGTTATGGTTGGTGAATGGGGCATGTTCTCATTATCATTGAAAAGGGAAGAAGGCTAGTGTTGGTTGGGGGAATTGTATAGATTGTCAATGGGGGGGAAAGATAGGTGGAGGAGGGAAAGTCTGTGATTTTTGGAAGGTGGAGAAGTGTAGGGTAGTGAAGGGCAGAGAAAACTATGGCTGGTTGAAGAAGGAGAATGTTCTAGCTCATCAGTAGAGAAAAAATTGCCATTTGCTTAATGGGGAAAAATTACAGTTAGTTAATGGGAAAATTGTTTGCTGGAGGAAGGAGAATGTTATGCTGGATAAATTGCAGAGTATTTGGTGGACAAAGTCAATGTATTTTACATGTGTTATTACCGTACTGGGCACAGACCTACAGTTTGGGCTCTCTTTTCAGTCAAAATGGATAAGTAATACAAATATTGCGGTAACTTGATTCTATAGTGACAGATTTTCGTTACCAATCTGCCTGAGGCAACAGCTGATCAGGCTGGGGCCACAGGATCTTTTGGGGAGGAGATGATGAAGCACACCAAGTGTCTAAATTTTAAAGCTTTATTATTAAAATAATAAAATAACAGCAGAGAGTGCTGGGAACGCTCCCACGTCACTCAGGGGAAGAAAGAAAGCGTTAGTGCCCCAAGCCCTAACCCACTTTCATACTCAAACACGCACTACCCGAGACTGGCCAGGCCTGGGTGTAACGCCAGAAGAAGGGGGGAGGGGGAAGGGGGGGAATGCTGTCCTGGGCCCAGGTCGTCCAGGGAGGATCTGTTGTGATCTCCGAGTTGCTCCAGCTCTCAGGAGGTTTTTAAGTCCTGAGCTCCTTGGGGGAGTGTTCCACTCGGGGACTTCTGCTTCTGGTGCTCTTTGTGACAGTTCAAACCGGCCTTCCGTGTCTTCCTCAGCTTCCCCAAAACATACCAGCTAGACTCTGTTTTCCTCCTTATTTTCCTTTGTGCTGGCCTTCGCTGTCTTGCTCATTTTGGGCTGCCTCTGCAGGTCTGTTAGGTTGCAACTTTCTTTCTCACGGCTGGTCGGGGTGAATTTCAAGCCTCCCTCTTTCTTGGCAGGCGGCCGAGAGTCAGATGTGTGCTGCGACCTTGAGCTGGTTGGAGTCGACGTCTTATCTCAGGCCTAGTAGGAGCGTGGAGTTAATCCGTTCTCTGCTCTCTTCTTCCTTCCCCCCTCTCCCTCGGCCTCTCGTAACCTGCAAAAGAATCTTCCATTCCACACTCTCACCTTTAACCCCTTCCCACATGTCTTGCGATGTTTGCAACAGCGTTAGCCACATACAATGCTGATCTGCCTCCCCTGGGGGCTCTCTGAGGGAGGGGCCATTGGGGTGTGACACTACAGCTCAGGCCACAAGGCTATATCTATGTAAGAGATTACCCAGTAGGATGGGGCCCATTCCTACAGCCGTTGCTCAGACTGCACTGCCACTCACTGCTGCCAGAATGCTGAGTAAAGCCTGCAGGATCTGGCCCTGGCATCCCAAATTCAGCACCAAACAAGCACACCTTCTCCAATGTAGAACAACAGCAGGGACTGAAAAATGGTTCCAAATCACTGAAGTCTGCAGAGAAAGTGTTCTGGTTCCTCAGTGCAGGACAGTGTGTCCCAGATCACATGGTTTCTGTCAGCAGACAGAACAAAAGCCTTGTTAGGCAGAGCTCTGTGCACTGAACATAAGATCGTAAGAACATAAGAACGGCCATACTGTATCAGACCAAAGGTCCGTCTAGCCCAGTATCCTGTCTTCCAACAGTGGTGCCAGGTGCCCAGAGGGAATGAACAGAACAGGTAATCATCAAGTGATCCATCCCGTGACCCATTCCCAGCTTCTGGCAAACAGAGGCTAGGGACACCATCCCTGCCCATTCTGGCTAATAACCATTGATGGACCTATCCTCCTTGAACTTATCTAGTTATTTTTTGAACCCTATTATAATCTTGGCCTTCACAACATCCTCTGGCAATAAGTTCAATGGGTTCACTGTGCATTGTGTGAAAAAATAGTTCCTTTTGTTTGTTTTAAATCTGCTGCCTATTAATTTCATTTTGTGACCCCCTAGTTCTTGTGTTATGGGAAGGAGTAAATAACACTTCCTTATTTACTTTCCCCACACCAGTCCTGATTTTATAAACCTCTATCATATCCCCCTGAGTCACTGGAGGGGGGTTTGCTGAGCAACCCCCCCCCACACCTTAGTGGAGAAGCCATTTCGGAGAAGTTGCTTCCCAAATGCTTGAGTTGGATTCTCCAACAGGCCACCTTGGAAGACAGGGTGATGAGCCCTAGGCAGACCTTAGAGGAGAGGGCGGTGGTATTCAGGGGAAACTGTTGGAACTTCAGTCTAAGCTTGGATCTGTAAACTAAGAAACTACTCCTTTTGTCTTTGGTTCCTCCTCCTACAGAGAAGCAGGAATTTGTACATTCCTTGTAAATAAATAAGATTGCATCAAAGAAAGTACCAGATTTTATCATCATTTTCTACTTCCAGCTGGAACGAGCTACCAGGCCCCAAACTCTGGCTATCCACTTGGGTCAAAAAGGGGCAACATATCCAAACTCATGTTATTGAGATCAATGCAGGGGTAAACAGGTGAAATCTAATGGTTTGTGATATACAGAAGGTCAGACCATATAATCTCTTCATCCATTTTGGGCTTAAACTATAGGAATCGATGATTTTATAGAGCTGCTCTCCACTATGTTGGCATCTGGTTCTAACAGATTTTAGCACATTGATTATTTCCCCCTAAAAGGTTGGACCGACACAAAAAGGAAACAATCATGGTGTCATAATGACACTTGAGAAGCGTAATTTGACATTGATAAGAGGTAGCCATTTCCCCTGCTGGATTAACACCCACCAAAAATAACCCAGATATTCACCCAGGGTCATCAAATGCAGTATATAAAGTACAGGAGGAAAAGGGCATACAACCATCAGCCAGCTACTCTGTATTAATGAATTTATGGAAATTAATACTCTCAAAAAACACATGAATATGCCATTGTTTGCTTGATTGAGACTAAAAGCTTTATAATAAAATGTAGAAAGCCCAAGTTTTAGAATAATGTTAATATTGATGGACCCACTAATTAATGAAAATGACACCTCAAAGGGCCTGATTCCCATTGGTTGGCCAAGCCTATGAAGGTCTTACAATCAACTCGACAGCATTTCTCTGTCTGTCTATATACTCTGATAACTTTTGAATAGCACATCTGATCAGTTCCAAAATTTCAGGGAGTATTTTAGGAATCAATGGCCAGAATCCAGCTTATTTTGGGAAAAATCAACAGAGGAAAAATATGGGACACATGGAGCTCCTGCCATATGATTAGCACATCCACAACTACAACCACCTTTGCAATTGTCGGTAGCTCATAGAATTGGTCCACCATTAAAGTCTTCCACCATAACAATACTCTATCTCATCTCTGCCAGTCCTCCCAATAGAGTTTAACATCTTGACATCTTGCATTACTCATAGAGAAAGAAGACAAATAACTAGAGGAAGGACTAGGAGAAAATGTAGGGGAAAGGAGGGAATGGGGGTGTACACAGCCCCTGGCATGGAGAGGGAGAGAACATGGGGACACTGGTCAGGGGACAAAGGCACACATAGAACCACTGCTATGGGGGAAGGATGGAGGCCCTGGTATTGGAGGAGGGCAGGATGAGGGGCACAATGAACTTCTGGGGGAGGGGAGATTGGTGGAGCTCCAGGGAGGAAGGCTAAAAACACATCTATTTGTATAACTATTCACACAAATTATTACCAAATACTTCATCTATGGTAATTCACTCAAGCTCAGGAAAATATATAAGAAATGTAGTCAGAAGGGCTAGAGAAAATGTGGAGGTATAGTGATGCCCTAAGGCTATCAGACAGAAATATTACAACATTTTAGGAGAAAATAAATAGATCTTTCAAGATTACTAAAGTTAGGCCACCTGCTGAACTCACAGCGATAGTACAAAGCGGGTTATTGACTCAGGGAAGGATTGATTCACCATTATTGCTAGTAGCCAGATCTGTGAGAGCTCATGTTTGGAGAAGGACAGATCCACCAACATTAGTAGCATGGAGAATAAAGTATGGGAAATCCTTCCAATGGAGAAAATGGCAGATATCCCAAGCTCAGGGTCAAGTAGAATGCATAAGGAATTAATACCATGTTTGGCAGCTGAACATCACGAATACAAACTTCATGCTAAGAGGCTCACCAATACAATTTTCCCCCATGTCACATACAGGAATTATGAACGAAAACATTTAATCTGATAGGAAGTTCATGCAAGATAATTATTACAAAATGGAAAAAAAGCTCATCCAAGATAAATTCCATCCTTATAATTTCCTCTCTGAGAAAAGGATTCTTCTCATCAGTCTCCTGATGGCTTTTTTCATCTCAGCATTTTTCAGGGTGTAGATCATTGCATTAATCATCGGGGTGATTAGGGTGAAAAAGACTGAGGCCAACTTGTCCATGGGGAATTTCCGGAAGGGCCGAGCGTAGATGAAGGTGGAAGGTATGAATTGTAAACACACAACTGTGATCTGGGTTCCACAGGTGGACAGAGCTTTGCGCTTCCCATCTGTGACGTGTTTCTTTATCTTGACTAAGATGATGGTGTATGAAATGAGCAGGATGATGAACATTACTATGACGAGCATCCCGCTGTTGGAGACCATCAGCAACTCAACCAAGTAGGTGTCAGTGCAGGCCAGTTTGATGACTTGTGGGACATCACAGTAGAAATTATCCAGGATGTTTGGACCACAGAATGGCAACCGGAGGACCAGTGCAATCTGAACAATTGAGTGAGCCAATCCACCCATCCATGCCCCTGCCACCAGGCCCACACACACACCCTGGTTCATGATATTCAAGTAACGCAATGGTTTATAGATAGCTACATACCGATCAACTGCCATCAACACAAAAACAAAAATTGCAGCACCAGCGAAGAAGTGGAAGAAGAACATCTGGAGGATGCACTCATTGAATGAGATGGTTCTGTGCTGGGAGAGGAGACCCAACAGCAATTTGGGAGCAGTGACTGATGAGTCGCTGACATCTAGGAAAGCCAAGTTGGCCAGCAGGAAGTACATGGGGGTGTGGAGCTGGTGCTCAGTTATCACAGTGATGATGATGGTAACATTTCCCACCCAGGTTGTAAGGTACACTATGAAGAAGATGATGAAGAGGCATCGCTGAATCTCAGGACTCTGGGTGAGGCCCAAAAGGACAAATTCTGTCACTGTGGAAGTGAGGTTCTGCTGTTCCATTTACTAGCCTCAAAACATGCCTACAGAGGCAACTGTAATAATTAGTATGAAGAAGTTCTTATTACTCTCTCCTTAAATTACTAATGTTAAGTAAGTATTAACTCCTCTTAACTGAATTTGGTTTAGGAATTTTCTTAGCTCACTAAATTCAGTCAGCCTCAGTGGAGGGCAACCCTGCTTCAACAGACCCTAGGAGCTACACCAGTGGTCATCCTCAGTTCTGGGGTAATTGGGAGTGAAGGAGAGCAGCCTACAATTCAAGATTATGTCTAACTGCTGCCTCCATTCACCTTCCTGCAGTTCTGATGCTGCACATCTCCTGAGGCCCAGAGGGTCAGGGTTGAGTGGAATGTGGGTTTCAGAGAGTGCTTTTAAGTTGGACTTCTCAGAGTCCAATGGTTCTCAAAATGCAGGTCACAAAGAAGTGTCAGGAGATCATGATGACCAAAATGCCCTTCCTATATTCACAAGTGGCACGGAAGTCGCAGGTAGCTCCTGGTCTAGACTGAAGAGGAATTGGATTGAAAATTTTGAGAACCACTGATTTACGGGATTCACATACCCAACCTGTGGCCTTGATGTGAGAGGTATTGAACATCTGTAGCCCACATTAACAAAGTGATGGTAGTTGTCCCCTTCTAGTGGCTACAAGAAGAGAAGGAATTAAATCTTTTTCTCTTTAGCAGAAATTGCATGTGTTCCCCACATGTGAAATAAATATAGTTACTGTAATGAGATGTTCATGGATTCTGGTGCTTAATTTTAAATACCTCTATTTAAAAGCTGTGAACACTGGAATATTTCCATGAATGAATAGAGATATAAATATTGAAAACTACTGTGGGGTTATGGATGCTCAACTCCCATTAACATTTTCAAAAATCTCTAGAAGTAGTTGGCAAAAAAAAAAATGTTCCCAATAATGTTCCCAAGAAATTGTCAATATTTCTAATTTTTCATGGTTAAATTTCTAAAGCAATAAAGTGAAAATTTTCACATCATTGGCAATCAAATCCCATTTTTCATTTAATTTGTAAACAAGGATTTGTTTATTTTTTATTTCAAATTGAAATTTAACTTTTAACTTTGATTCTTTTTTATTGGTGGGGAGTCAAACATATTTGAAATCTGTTGTTATGAAGAATACCATTAGTACCTGGCTCTTTATATCTAAAGACCTCAAAGTGCTTTACAAAGGAGGTTGGTATCATTATACCCATTCTACAAATGCAGAACTGAGGCACAGGCACGTGAAGTGAGTTGCACAAGGTCCCCCAGCCAGACATTGAAAAAGCCAGGAAAAGAACAGAGACCTCTGCAGTCCTGGTTCCATGCTCACTCCACTAGGCCATGCTACTTTCAGTCTCGCACCATTCCCCCATTTTCATCCCTTTTTTTCATTACTTCAAGATTTTCCTCTCCAAACACTGGGTTTTGAGGAAAGCTCATATTTCTACAGGAAATAGATTTTGCCAAAGCATGTCAGCCAGCCGGAAATGTCTCCTCCTTTATGGATAGGGCCATGTTACTATGTGAACATAGGAATGGCCGTACTGGGTCAGATAAAACAGTCTATCTAGCCCAGTATCCTGTCTTCTGACAGTGGCCAATGCCAGGTGCCCCAGAGAGAATGAACAGAACAAGTAATCATCAAGTGATCCACATGTGCTATAGGGGGGATGGCTCTGTGAGTAAAGTACTGGCCTCAGACTTTGGAGATTTGGGTTCAGTTTTTGCCCTGCCATGGACACCTTCTGGAACACTGGGTAACTCACATCTCCACTTGGTCTAGGATTTTCAAGTAGTAAGAGAGTTAGGCACAGGAAATCTCATTCAGGTTTTATCCAGAGATCAGGGCACTTCCCTGTATTTTTTCCAGTTTTCACGTCCCTGCTCCAGAGATAAAACCTTTCAGATCAGAGCAGCACCGACCCGCTGCCATTAGAAACACCTGGTCAGACAGAGCTAGTCATATAATTTTGGGTGGTAAAGGGTCTATGGATTCTTCTCCTCCTAACTGACTTAGGTTCCTGTAAGATCCAAGCCAGTATATGAGCTCACCAGCACCCACTTCCTCTCTGCAGTAACAATGCCTAACGTTAGTACCACATTGTAGATCTTATACAACAAGAATCATTACCTCACTCAAACTCTGTGCTGTTGATCTCAGAGCCAACCACCTCCAAACAATTGAGGATGATCTGGGGAAGTCACATCTCAAATCTGAACCTTGCTCTTCTGACTGGCTGGAGCAGGGGACCTGGTTCCAAACAGGAGAGAGTGATGGAAATCTATCCCTTATATCCCATCTGACCCATGCACCAAGACTGGTGCTAGGATCAAAGACTCACTGAAATCCCCCTGAGCTTTACTGAGCCAGATTGAGAGAGTTGCTGCTTCGGAGATTTGAGAATTCAATCTCAAGTGAAATGATTAATAAATTCCTGGAGTTTTTCATTTTGTTTATGTTTCTTTTTAGCCACTCATACTGAACAGACTTTGGAAATTTACCAGATGGTCTGAGCCTGAGACAAAGAGGCTCTATGGGGCACAGGGGCTGCTTATGTTGACCTAGTTGTCAAAGTCTCTTCACTTCAATTTGGCTCCCACCAACGTAAGTGCCCCGCCCCACTGATTTAATAACACCACCTCCCTGAGTGGCATAGAGTCATGGTCGATATAGTTGATGCATTGTAGACACTTAAATGTCAACTGTTATTGGCCTCCAGGAGCTGTCCCACAACACCCCACACTGACCATTCTGGTCACCATTGTGAATTCAGCTGCCCAGGGTTCAGGTGGACAGGAAGCCCCTCCTCCCCTTTAAAGCCCTGCAAATTTTTGAAATTCTTTTTCTTGGTTGCCTGACATGGTGAGCCCACCCAGCAGCTCTCCTTTGTTGTGTATAACTGCCCTGTTGACCATACTGGCTACATGTTCCAGACTCGTTCCTGCCTGTAGTATGCAGGAGATATTGGATTTCTTGGGCCTGTGGGGAGAAGAGGCTGTGCAAGCACAGCTTGGATCCAGCCATAGAAATGTGAACATCTACAAAGCCTCCCTCAGTCATCTAACT